TGGAAAAACAGGTCCAGCCAATAGCTAAGGCCAACATGCCAAGGACCCAGTGAAGCAGATACCCACACATCTTTGCTTTGGTAGGGAAGGGACAGTCCTAGAAAATCCAGCCATGGAAGAAGACTCATGTCTCTAAGAGTAAAAGGCCATCCAGAGTGGTAACTGATGGAAAGAGAACCACCTTCCGATGGTATTCTCCAAAAGCAGGAGACATCCCAAGTAAAAGAGTCAGAGAGCGTATTTGCAGGACGCACCCCTTCATAAGTACTTATACAACTGGTATGTCCTTTTCCTTTCTCTTCATCTGATAGCCAAGACCTTGGACTCTTCCCTTGCTGCCCCCCTGCCAGACTCTCCTTGCAGAAATGAATTCAGATCTCACAACACTCAGGTGCACACTGTGGCTATAGCAAGTCCCAGGAGGACTTTACTTTAAGATGATCTTTGAAGATGTTAAAGGAGTTGTGTGTGTGTGTGTGTGTGTGTGTGTGTGTGTGTGTGTGATTAAAGTCTAAACCTCACAATGCAGACAACATTCTATTTTCAGTAATAAAAACGCTCTAGACCTTATTGCTTCATCTCTTTTGTGCCTGGAATCCCTCGTACCATCCTCCTTTGTGACTTCAGTTTCTATTACTTTAGTACTTTAGCATCTATGTTTTTTGATATACTTCTCTCCTTCAAACTGGGTTCTCCTCCCCCTCTTATATTACTGGGGAGACCTGTCCTATCCCTTGAACTTACATAAACAGCATAGAAACCACCAAGAATCATCATCAGAATCATCATCCTTGTTTTAAGGGACTCGGGTTATGGCTCTCCTACAAGACCCAGAGCACCTGCTGGGTTTCTCTCTTCTCTCTGGCATATGTCCCCACACTGCTGGGGAGAATGACAAGTAGCTGGCATCCCTTGGACAGACCCAGCAGCAGGACACATTAGAACTGTAGCCATGGAGTTAACCAAATACAACGTGGAAACCAGAGTCCGCGCTTTCTCATCAGCCCCGTACTGCCCACCAAGCTTCCCTGCCTGCCACCCATTTGGCCGCAAAACCTCTTCTGTACCCATGGGAGCCCTGAGACCTGGCTTCTCCCCAGACATGACTTCCTCTGTCTACTCTTAGCCATAGGAAACTTCTCTTTGTCTCAACTGTCTCTTAGCTATGATCAATTTTTCCTTTTTTCTTTTTAATAAAAAAAAAAAAAAATAGAAGTAGAACAAGAAGCTCTACTTCTTTAGCATAACCCATTTGTTTTTATTTTCCGGACACCAAATCTTGAAAGAGAACATTTTTCTCCTTTGCTTTGGCCGGCCCGCAGAAGCTCAGGTCCAAATTGAACACTTGTCTCCAGTAAACATGAAGACTTTATGGCCCAGATGACCTATAATTCACATACTACTTGCTATTTATCTTCCTGCTCCACTTTTATTTCTTTCTTCTCCCCACTTGTGCTATGTAAGTATTTGCATTTTCTAATAGTGTGTAATAACTTATCTTATGTTCTTTTATGGAACAAGATGAAATATTAAAAATAAAAATAAAAAAATATTAAAAATAATTAAAAATTTAAAAATATTAAAAATAATAAAAATATTAAAATAAAAATATTAAAAATAATAAAAATAAAAAATAAAAATAAAAAATATTAAAAATAAAAATAATTAAAAATAATAAAAATAATAAAAATAATATTAAAAATATTAAAAATATTAAAAATATTAAAAATAAACATCGTATTAATGAAACCATCTCATTAGTAATGCACTGCATAGCAATGGATTTTGTATGCACAGAGGAGCTCTTTGCAAAGAGCAGTCACTGCCATGAAGGTCATGGCTGGGGCTGTGGTGCAAGCCCCATGGGTGAGGATCCCTTCCAAGTGGATCCTGGGGTCTCTTCTCAGTGACTGTCTGTGTGATGTTAACTCACTTTTTAGACCTTAAGCCAGCATACACTTCTGTGGGTTCTTGTTGACCTTGAAGAGGAATAGAAATCCTCAAATCGTTCTGTGCTTATTCAAAGAGTGTGTATTGAATTGCAGCTTTCATAGGACTGCACTTGACCCCTAATACTACATAATGTTCCACAGTCATTGTTGTAGACATTTCCTGTTTGGGGTATGAAACATCTAGAATATTGGGAGTTCCTTAATTGACCCCAGTTGATGTTAGAATCATGTTCCAAAATGTTTGACTACATGAGCCAACCAGCTTAAATAACATCTTTTATTCTTTTGAACATCTAGAATTCTGTAGCCAGGTGATATTTGATTGTATCTCCACGTGTATTCCTTTCAGGCTGTTGCTAATTTCAAAGGATTGACATATTTCCCACCCAGGTAGTCTGACAGTAGAATCATGCACAAGACAGAGTTTTAGGAGGCAGCTAAATCCATTCAGGTCTCTTGCGACACATTAATAGCACAAAACCAGGAAAATCAAGAATATTTAACTTCCATTAAGGCATTTTATGTGGAATCTGGGACTGCTGTTAAACTGTAGAATCATCTTACTATCAGAAGTGTCTCCAGGTCTGAAGTGGAACTGTTCATTAAGCTGGAAACAGATTCTTTCCAAGAGACCCCAGGAGGGCTTGTGAATGTTGCTCAGCAGTAGGAATGGACTATACCAGTTCTGAGCTTCTGAATTTGGCAGGATCTACCTCATACAGGGCTTTTGCTCAAAGGTATCTTAAAAAGAAGTGTACATGGGAGGAAGAGAAAAATGACAGAAAGAATAAGGAAGATTCTTTTTGGAAGAGCAAAGCATGGTGTTTGCTTCCCAGTGTGTGCATACACGTGTGTGTATGTGTGTGCACCCACGTGTATGTGCATGCCCAGATATTCATATACCACGAGATGGGAAGTCTAAGAAGTATCTTGTCCAACCTTCTGCCCAACACATAATTCATTTTTGCAATATTTTTTCAGGCTGGTAGAACACATTTCTACTTAAACACCACCAGTTACAGGAACTTCACTATTTCACAAGGCAAAGCCCTCAATGCTCAGACAACTCTAATGTTTTGTTTTTCATGACTCTGAATGAAGATCTTCTTCAATTATTTCTTCAGTGACCCAGCTCTCTTCCCTAGAGCTGCATGCAACCTATTAATCCACCTTCCATAGGATAATCCTAAATAAGTATTTGAAGGCTGTTGTAATCATCATAATGATTATGGTGGTATCATCATCATCATTAACACTGGTAGTACATAACATTTCTTGAGCACTTCCTGTACGTGATGTGCTAAGCATTTTATATTTCTATCTCACTAATCCTCAAGACTCAATGAAATAGATAACATTTCACTAATTTTATTTTATTTTGAGAGAGAGAGAGAGAGAGAGAGAGAATGAGTGAGGGAGGGACAGAGAGAGAGGGAGAGAGAGAATCCCAAGCAGGCTCCATACTCAATGGTAAGCCCTATGTGGGGTCTCATGACTCTGAGATCATGACCTGAGCCGAGATCAAGAGTTGGAGGCTTAACCAACTGAGCCACCTAAGTGCCCTGAAATCGATAAATTTCAAAAACTCATTTTACGGATGAGAAAACTGAGGTTTGGAGAAGTAAGGCAGCTTGCCCTGGGTAACAGAACTAGGATGGAAATCAGGCTTCCCCAGTCTCTTTTCTAGCTCCACATTAGTGACCTATACTGTGGATGATGTGTGCAGGTGTTTTTTCATGGGAGGATTATGGGGACTAGACTACCACCTTCTGCATCCAAGGGAACTTCTGGCTGCATACTGACTCACACAAAGCATTCTCCTCTCATCACATCTTTCTTACAGTGGTGTATTTTTAGGAATTCCTGTGTCAGCATAAACACTGTTGGAAGCCCTGTGCAGAGAAAACTGCAGCCTTGCGGTTTTCTTTTACTGGTCCAATGATTTTTCAAGTTGATCCTTTACAAACTGAGGTGTCTGAGTCGTGAGTTAGAGAAATGCCTTCCAAAGAGCACAGCATCCAGCATCAAACTGTGGCTCCATGAGTAGGTGCCGAATGATTGAATGGACCAGTGGCCTCCTGAAGAAAATAGTTTAACGTCTAGGGCTGAGAGAAGTAGAAATTTTGTGTTCTACCTCAATAATAACTATTTCCCTATTCTTTCTTTTTTTAAGTTGGGATTGCAAATATGTATCAAATTCGTATTTCTCTGCTGGTTTGATTCACCCATGTAATTATGCTTTAATTTCATTGAAAATAACTTTTTGGATTAATATGAATACCTTTTCATGTTTACACTTCATGAAGTACCCAATCTTGTTACCACTGAAATGTCAAATTATGAGAGCTTCTGACTTTCCAGCTAGTTGCACCTCTGGGAAATCTGGCCTCCTCCACAGGCCATGAGGGGTCTCCGGAGCTGTAAATCTGTGTTTTCTAAACTCCTTTCTCCAGAAATTTTAAGAAACTGACCTTTCTGGAAAGATATTTTAATAATGCTCTTGTTGTGCTTGTCCATTAACATGGTATGTTCTCACATCAGTGGAAAGGAAACAAAGCAATGCTGAAGTATTAACTGTAAAGATTCAAGGACTTGGTGAAGGGCAAAGGTAAACCCATAAATACACCTAAGCCCTGCCTCCTATAACTAAAGTACCTGATTCTTAGAATAGAGTGTTCTTTGGTTAATTGTCATTATTATGAATGAGACCCAAGATACAAGTGTATTCTTCAGAGACAGCTTGTGACATTCTTCTCACTGTCATACTTTATATGTTTTACACTGGATATCCCTAACTTCTGGAGAGCCAGGACCTCACAGATGTTTATCCTACCCTGATTCAGGAAGGAGTTGCTAAGTTACTAGTCATCTGGTGTGGAGATATTTTATATCAGATGCAGCTATTGGAAGTCCAGAGTGATGTACACAAATTAGTAAAATATGTCCAACCCTTTAAGAAGTCTATTTTTTTTTTCTTAAAAAAAAAAGTCTATTTTTCATCCTTTTAATGGTATTTGGTTTTGTATTGCCTCTCCTAGGTTTGCTGGGATGGGAAACCTGCTCAAAGTCCTTACCAGAGAAATTGAAAACTATCCACATTTTTTCCTGGATTTTGAAAGTAAGTTCCAAAAATCAAATGATAATGACGGGAACGTTTTACTGTCTTAATAGCTTGTTGATAGAGAAGTTATAACATAAAGATTTTAGATGATACTTAAATCCAAATGTTACCGTTCGTTCTGAGTCTTCAAAGATCATTTTATTTCTTTCTTTTCCTGTTATTTTTTTAAGAAACCTAATAGGAAAAATTTGTAATGTATGTAGGGTTTTCTTGGATTTTACAACCAGTCAGCTTTCATCAGCTAGCATCAGTCATCATCATGTATTTTTCTTAATAATTTTTATGAAATGCTAGGTCATATTCTAAAGAAAAATAGTATGTATATAACTTATGTAGATTAATATCACAAATATCACTAGACACAAAAAAATTTATAGAACTAGAAAATAGGCTTACAGATTATTTTTGAGTCATCTCTGTTTTTTTATGTTATTTGATTGCACAAAACTATTTCAAAATTTTGAGATACCCCCCTTTAATTTGAAGGTTATGTTTCTTTTATGAAAAATTTATTTTTTTTTTCTAAAGTAAAGTGGCTTGTGCATTATGACTGAATAAACATGGAGGCTATTATTCTTATCTTGTTTATTTTCTTGGTTGAATATATTTTCAAATGAGTGACACATTCATGTTTTATCAACTAAGCTTATGGTTCCACCTTCACTCCTGTATTCCCCCTTTTCTAAATTACAATTCTGCAATAGCAAGAACATTAAATGTTCCTATTCCCAGTGTTCACTGTTTGTTGCAAACTTTAATCTGCTTTAAACTTTAAGTTTTCGAGTATCTACTTAGATCAAAAAATAAGTCAGAATTTCATGGCATATATATTAAACTTGCTGACAGAGATTTTCTAAGTAAATGTTAGAAGACCCGTTCAAGATACAGTAAAGCAAAAGATGACTGCTCCCTAGATATGCCTTTGCCGAATCTTTCGTGAGTATAAAATAGCTACTTGGAAAGGAAAAGTACTCCCAAGACTCATGGGTCCTAAAAAAAGTGTTGAATCTAGATTATATTCCATGAGGATATCTCATTTCTGATTTAACTCATTTTGCTGGTATCGTTGCTTGGATGGTTTGGTTGGTTTTGATTGGGTTGGGCTGGGTTCTGTTGGACTGGTTGAGCTGGGTTGAGTTGGGTTGGCTTGTGCTTGGCTAGGTGGCATAGGTGGCCAGCAGTGTAGGTGGGAACTCAACAATAGAGTGATTTGACACATTGAAAGGAATGGGCTTTTTTACTCGTGTAACTTTCGCAACTCCCATATACATATCTTTGTTGTTGTTACTATTGTTGTTAAAATGAAAATTTATTAGTCACTTTAAAGAATTTTACAAGATAAGTCACCTCTTATCCTACCCCCTCGTATTACTACTTGCATGTTTAGTTGATTCCTTCCACTTCTTGTCGCACGCATTTTACACTGTTGCAACTAGCATGTACGAAGTCCAAAACAGACGTGGAGGTAAAATACCCCATTCACTGAAAACTTGGGGGGCATATGAACACCTAAGGTAGTCAAATGTCTGCACTTTTTTTTTTGAAGCTCTGAATTCTACACACATCTGCACATGCTGCTTATAATTGCCTACCAGGTTCAGTGGCCCCCATTTGTCTATTTACCTGTTTTTGGATTCTTGGCTTTCTGTGCTTTTATAAAGAGTAGTTTTGAGTTCCTTGTCAAGTCTAATTTTAAAAGCCTTCCAAGTGATAAAATAAAAATCTTCAGGGATTTAAAGCACTGGTTTTCAAAGGGTGTTCTCTGGAGTACCAGAGTTCTGAGGTTATTCCTCAGGGGATCCCCAGCCCCTGGCTATAGCAGAGGGACTGCTCTCCTTCTTTCTTATGACCCAGTAGTCTGGTCTGCTCAGTCTTGTAGTTTGAATAGTTCCTTAGCTTTTTCTTATTTTTAAAAAGGTCATGGTGGCTAAAACAAAAACAAAAACAAAAACATTTAAACATCCTGAATTTTGATAGTGGCTTATGGTACTGAAACTCAATTTGTAGATATGTTAATAATTTCTTCAACAAGGAACATGTAGAATGGATTCTCATGCCTTGTGGCTCATTAGGACTAGAGCAATAGTATTTAAGGAAAATATAAAACTATCAATTTATAGAAAATATATAAACTATTTATTTCCTCATCAATCCCAAGGAGAAGGTTAACATTATTTCACTGAGACTCTAAAAAGATAAATAACTGGACAGAAGTCAATAGTGAAGATGACTTCACTATGAAGATGGGAACGTGAACACAGGTTTCTGGCTTTTATCCTCCTTAAGTGCTTATCACAAGCAACCTCCATTTCTGACTAGGGAAGGACATCTTATTTCTCTGCGAACCAAGACATCTCATGGAAAAAATACTTTTTTCTCAATCCTGAAAACCCTATTTCCTAACGGTGATTTTCAAAACAGAATGATGATGGACCAGAAGGGTAGGAAAGGTCAGCTGTGGTCATGATTTTTCTTTAAGTCTGTAGATTTCAGCTCAACTCAGTAGTGGTATGTGGAATATGGGTACAAGCATCCATGTAAGGCAGACAATGTCAGAGAGACAGAGCTAAACAAGGACAGTCATTGCCTAATGGAGTCTGAGGCTACTTTGCAGATAATATCAGCCCATAGTTCAAGACAAGATAAAATAAGGGGCTTAAGGGCACACCACACCCTGGGAGTAAAGAAGGAGAAAAAGAACGCATCTGGTTTCAGGAAACGGAAGACTACGGAAGGAACTAGAGAAGTCTTCCAGCAAAAGGTGGCCTTTGGAATGGGTTTTAAAGAATGAGTGATTTTTCTATAGGCATACAGGGAGAAGAGTTTTCCAACAGTGGAAATAGGGATAGGAATGGAAAGGGCATGTTTGAAGAACAAGAAGCCCAATTTAGAGAGAATAGCACGTGCTTGCTGAAAGGAAATGCGGGCAGAAAGGGAAGGCTGGCTTGGGCTAGACCACAGCGGTTGCAGAAGCTCAGGGCTAACAGTCCGTAATCGGGTCTGTAATTGGGTTTGTCCTCAAAACGCATAGCTGAGGGGAGCTGGGTTGCTCAGTCGGTTGAGCGTCTGACTTCATCTCAGGTCATGATCTCACAGCTCCTGATTTCGAGCCCTGCATCGGGCTCTGTGCTGATGGCTCGGAGCCTGGAGCCCACTTCAGATTCTGTGTCTCCCTCTGTCTCTGCCCCTCCGCTGCTCATACTCCGTCTCTCTCCTTCAAAATAAATAAACATTAAAACAAGATTAAAAAACAAAACCAAAAAAGAATAGCTGAACTCCCTGAGGGAAAACTAGAAAGCAGACAAGAGCACGGCAGGCAGGAATGTTAAGTGTACTCATGCTTCAAGGGAGGTTGATTAAGTTGGAGGACTTTTCCTGGAAAAGAGGAAAAAGAGATTACACTATTAAGGAAGGAGAACATCTCACTAAGCCGAGACTAAACTAGGCCTGGACCCTACCGCTCAGTTTTGCAACCCAGCACTTAGCCCCATGGAACACTGATTGCCAAACAAAGCCTCAGTAACAGATGCTGGCCCTGTGAAGGAACGGAATAGAACACGTTAGATTGAGGCAGTCAGGAGATCAGAGACAGTAAAGAAGGAGGGAACGTAAGTGGATTCACATGTTGCAGAGTAGTCAGGATGGATAAGGCTTGGAAAGGGAATGGCAAGTTGGGCAGTGACTACCCCACTACTAGTGGCCCCTGGAAAAACAGATTCAAGAGTTATTCCTTTGAGTCTAGAGGCTGGATTGCAAAGAGTTAAGGAGAAAGAAGGGGAGGGAGGAAGGAAGGCCAAACAGCATGTAGCAACAGCTTAAATGAATTTGGCACCTCTACTTTGAGTGTTGAATATCCTTTTTGAAGTCAGTGATGGAATATAATTGAACTGGGTCAAATAGATATAATTAAGCTGGGTCAAAATATAATACAAAATTAGACACATCTGTCCCAAGGTTTTCTAGTTGTGTAGATTTAATTTAAATTCTTGTCTGACCTTTGCAGTGAGTTCTATACCCTTTGCTCACATTTCTACACAACCACTTAACATCTTTTTTATTGTTTTATTTTTCAACCCACTACTTTTTTTTTTTTTTTTCCCCTTTTCCGTCTCTACTGTCATATTTCCATTTCTTCTTTGAAGGCTGGGAGACAGAGGGGGAGTAAAATGCAACCTAATCTTGCATGAGTGACAGTTTGGGAGACACTGTACAGAAGACGTATGCCTGAAGGTCTGTTGATGATTGTTCAATTGAATCCACTCGTTAATGGCACCCAAAGTGGGCAGCAGACATTAGCCTTTCAGTGAAATCGTTCAGTGATTCCCGGACTGAAATGATCATTAGAAACATCTGGTAGATATGGTTTTTACATGGTTGTCTGAAAGTCTCCCAAAATTCTGATTCAGTGGCCTAGTTCCAGGGATCTGCTTTTGCCCACATCTCCCAGGTGGTTCTGATGATTAACCAGTTTGAGAACCACATTTAACTAATGCATCCAAATGAGGCATTAACTCACCCTCGGGTTTGGGACAGGGGATGTAACCAAGCAACCTTTCCAAGATCCAGAGCTGAGGTCTCGAGAACTGGTCACAGAAAACCCCTTTTAGTTCTCGTTGCCGTGTTTTTCCCTTGCCACATAGGCAGTAGAGAGTTAGCCGTTAATCACACCTATGACTCTAGAATGGCACACTTCTTCAGTCCTTCATACAGTATCTGCCTTGGAGTGGAAGGTCTCTAAGACAGGTCAAAGTTCAGGTAGACTAAAAACTATGCGAAGTCACCTTGCTTCAAAGACACTCTGTTTCAGTAAACAACTTGATCTATCAAAATATTCCATGGGGATTGAGTCGATGTTTCTCCAAAGATAAACAAATGACAGATAAGCACAGGAAAAAAAACATTCACTAGCCAAGAGGGAAACGCAAATCAAAACCACGAGATAGCACTTCACCAGAGAGAGAGTAGAAAGTGTTGATGAGTGGGGCGCCTGGGTGGCT